TAAGAAAACTTAAGAAGCAACTAGGATTTTATTAGGCAAACGGGGAAATCGAAAAAACAGATACAAGGGCAAGGCTAAGGCCTTCGTTACGATCGAGTTCAAAAACTTTTTAAAGCCTAAAATAAGCGATGACACGCGTACATTGAGTCTGACAGGCGTCGATTATTTCACAATGACAGCTGGAATATGGTTGGTCGAGGCATATGTAGTTGACACTGAGCAAAATAACAATACTTCTAATTCGTATTAATAATGTTTACAAATATGTCCTTACCATATAGCCTAATAATACTGCTCCCAGGATTTCGAATATTGACGCAAGGATACAAGCTTGTCGCAGAGTTAGTACCTGCAATTTACAACCGTTCATTATCCCATTAGAAGGGTACAAATATGCGGCACTAAATCCAGAACGGCAATAAAATTATGCGTGGAAAGAATTACATGGTGTTTTTTTCTTCTTATGTACAAGTGGAATCGTTTGTCAAATATTTCACTCTCTTTCGATCTTACATTTCGCCACCGTACAATGCCCAATACTTCAAACTGAACCTTTCACCATTCAACTAGAAATACGGTTAAGAGTTCCTACATACTCTTCTGATTAATGCTTATATGTTTCCGCGTTGTATTTACGATCAACTAATAAGCCGTTCAAGCTCACGTAAATTAAATCCTCATAATATTTTTCAGGTACTTCAGCCCCCCATAAAGCATCTGGTTCCCCAACGAACTCCTGCTAGAAATCAACGTATGGTTTCAAGGACTTTAAGTCAAGGGAAAGGGAACGATGTTTTACTTCGTAGACAACATAATCTCGTTTTATTATTTATTTAGAGAGCTTAGAATATACTGCATTGATGGTATGGAAAGGATGCAAGTTAAAATACTTCCATGTTCAATTTATTTTCAGCCACTGAATGACCCTTTTAATTGAAAAACAATTACAGAAAGTAACTCTCTCAGCGGCAGACCGCTCCGCTAATCCACACGACGTCGTTTTTGATCTACAGGTGATGGTAGCTCGAAAAAAAGTTTGCTCTACTTTAACCTAATTTTTACGTTCGATTGATTTTAACTAAATGAGATTTTGTAAATAGATACGTTTGAATGATTGTAAAACAGTGATGAATAATGGAATTATATCGAGCGACAGAGCCGCGGAACTGTATACGTACCTTGGCTCCTACAGAAGTTCCAAACGAATTGGCCACATCGTTCGCACCAACTCCGAAAGCAAGGACGAAGGCGACGATAAATCCGAGCACAACTATCCACATTACGTCCGACGGATCATCCAACATGACTGCAGCTATCTATTCCGGAGCCCACGACTCCGACCGGATTGTAATGAGATCGACGATGATACAATGACACGTCCCCTGGCGAAGACGATGTTCAGGTGCACTAATAACACTTACGTGCGCGTTCAGCGTACTTTGACAACAAATACTTAAGATGCTTCTTTTTAGGGTTTTGCGCCCAAGACTGGTTACTGCTCTGCTACTGAACTTCGCAAGACTAAAAATGTATTTCGAATTTTTACGTCCAGTAATTTGCCGTACCATACACCGCACTTCAACGACCCCACAGCGTCATATGCACAGGACTCCTTGCTTCTGGTTTTTGCTATATCAGAACGAGCAGCATAATTCCATCGATTTTGTTTTCATTGTCATCCACAGGGGAAGCAGCGGTCACTTCGCTTCTGGCATACCTTTGAGCAATGCGACATTAGTGGTATGGTTAACTTATCTGTGTAGTAGGAACGCCTTCCTTTAGGGGCTTGGGCACAAAAGTACCTGATCGCAGCTTGATTCTTATCGGATACGTTGCTTCCTAACACTCCCTGTGATGCTGAGGTCCGTTGTAGGGCGGTTTTTTTACTGCAAGAGACGCAGCGATGTGATCTTGTTCTACAGGTAATGGTTGCAAAGACTGTGTGCCTACACTAAGTGCTGCCCAAGACAAAGCAGACACTACGTATTACCAGTGACCAATGCGACTCGAGAGGTAGGTTGGTTCGGAGATTAGGTAGATGGCCCACGGAAAGCAGGACTATAAGCCGTAAATTTCACGCGGGATGCTGCGATCACCGTTACCAGCACTCCAAGAGAAAAGTTAGATGAGAGAGGGTGAGAAAAACCAACCAAATGACGGATGCGAACGACAATGTTTGCGCGGCTGACGGGGAGTAGCCATCCTGAAGGAGTTTCCTGGAGGAGGATGGCCACGAAGGAGATAGCGACGAGGCGAACCGCTAACACTAATACTGTCGCCGCATAACAAAAGGGTCACATGTTCCAGGTCCTACCAGGTGGGCCACAAGAGAATAGTCTCTATCACCGCAGATCCATGATCATCGGCAACCAGCAAGAGAAATCATGCAAAATGTTTCTCCCGTCCGGCGAACGTCGAAGATGCTGCAACTCTTGATAAATAGTGGAGGCGGGTTTACCTACTAGCTACGCAGCTGCATGGTCGCGCTTGACCTTGCAAGCCTGTTCGATGCTGATAGTATGCTTGTCTTTGACCCTTTTTGTTTCGCTCCATCGATTTCCCACTGCTTCAATAACGAGCAATTTCCCACTGCGAAGAAGGTAAACTCAGGCGAATATAGAACGAGCAATCAAGAAAAAAGAGACAGACACGCACAGAAAATGAAGGACAAGTAAAAATGGGACCAAAAAAGACAGTCTGGATGTTTTATATGATGATGAATTTTGGGTTAACAATGGACGCTGGCTACAATATACGCGCACGATGATGAAAGTACTGCGAATCGATACTTTTTAAAGGCTGAAAGTAGATTGTGGATAAGCGAAATAATTTGTAAGGACGACCTATATGCCCAGTTAAGGACTTTCAAAAATATGGGTGAGTGTTAGCATGTGCACCTAAAGAATCTATAGGCTTTTTGTTTTTTTAGAAATGTGCTTAGTAAAGGACCGACTCATCGTAGACTTTTAGAAAAAAGATCATTTGAAACAGAAAGAAGACAGAAGAAATTATTATTATCTCTTTTGTTTCTTCTCGTTATTGTTTGTTTATCACCTGGATTAAATTTGTTAATATCATCTTAGTTTATTTTCTAAAGAGATCTAATATGAATCGACCGCATGTATCATAAATGCATTCGATCGATGTGTTTCATTGAAAGTGTAGCAAGAGTTTGGGAAAGTGCCAAATGTGAGCGCGAAACAATCTATTCTAGACGAAAACAAACTGTTCAACAGATATATATATATATATATATGTATATGCGTAAAAGACTTTTATTTATAAATAAAAAGTACATATGAAGGTATTTTCTTTTTTTTTGTAATTGAAGAAATTTTTCAGTTTAACTTTCGTTGGTCAGCTGTTTGCATAAGATTAGATAAATGAGATACATTGTTATATCTTTTTTAGGCAGACATAGAATCCTTCGATAATTACATTGCCAAGTCGTGCTGCTTAAGCCATATAAGCTAACGGATATACAACGCACTCGAAAGTAAAAGTATTTATAACACAAAATTACTTCTAGAGTTCAATTGATGAATAGGTAACACTGTGTTAGTCTAGTGCTACGGAACCGGCAAGTGTTCTCGCGTGCCTTTTTATTGAGATATGTACTTAAAGGAAGATAAGGTCATTGAACATTCTTAGTAATCTACCATGGCTGCACAGGCCCCTCTGTCAATTAGCACTTCCTTAAGACGCTCCTAAGATTATCATGGGGACAAATGAGTTGTTTGATATGTTTGAGCCTAAGGCGTAGGCCACTTTTGTTAGGATTTCGAGAATGAACACTAGAAGAATGGTGGTATCAATAGCTCCTAATAACCCTAACCGAACGCGTGTCTGGATCACCATGTAGTCACAACGATGATGGGCCTCTAAAAGAATTTGTGCTTAAATCGAGTGTTGTGCTAAAAGATTGTGTTCTATAACAAGAGCGTCACAAATAATTGGTTATCTACTAAATAACCAATGAAGTGTTCATTACGGAGAACTCTAGATATTCAAATACACGTATAGGTTCAAGTACGCACCTGTACAAAATAATCGTTTCTATATATTAACAAAGAAGTGTTTTAACTTATTCCCTAGGTAAAATTACACATATCTGCTACTGTTTGTTCTTAATATCACTAAGAAATTCTCTGTTCTCGGTGACGCCTTATTAAGCATTTTTCTGACTTATCATTTATGCTGTGGACAAAATGGAAGCGGTTCGTTGTCTCAGCAGATGCTTCCACCAGTTCTATGAAGGGGTTGTCGCTAGAGCATGATCAATGGGAGTTTATAATGAATTATTTTCGTTCCTTTTGTAATAGTGTTTTCCATCAACACCTTTAAGGCTAAACAATACGAAAGCATCCAACGACCTAATATAGAGCGTTACAAGAATCTCGCGTCTTATCATGAAGTATTCGAACGCGTCAAATTTAAAAAAATTGTTGCGGGACGTAATGTAAACAGGTATATTTGGTTGTAACAAGCGAATCTGGCGGACTTCGGAATCGAACAACAGAGGAAATTTTGCTAGAAAAATAATTTGGTTTTCTAAAAATTTGTGAGTGCCCGGTTGAGTTTAAGCCAGGATAAATAAGTTCAGAAAATACAACAAGCTTTGGTGTTTTTTTATTCCTCGGAGGTCACACAGCACTGCGAAAATTCATGCAGTATTAGCTAAAATCCTAGCCAAGAAAACCTTAAGCGAAAGCGCGTACCTAAGCGATGCGAACGTTTCTGTAAAGAAGATTGAATTATTGAAAACCAATCGTCGACACCCGAAGAATTCGCAGCAGAATTTCACAAGGGCAGAGATTCGAGTCTAACGGCTCTGCTGGCCAAAACGGACATTGTACATATAAGCTCTTACAGAATTATAACCCAAGTACTGAAAATGTGGAAAGTACGCAAAAAATGGGTCCCCGAGAATGCAGCCTGCTATCTTGAATTCCTCACAAGAATGATGGCACCACAATCGAAAGCATGCAGTTTGGTTGCCCAGCGACCAGAGCAGACCTATCCCTATGCTGTAATTACTCCTTCAATTTGGCAAAGGAATATCTTACGTTTGCTCCAGCCCGCTTACTCTTCCGGTCTATGTGCACGTGATTATGGAATTTTTTCATATCCTAAGAAGGGCAACTGGTGAGCAAACATATTCTACTATTGGTTCACTTTGAGGAGCAATAGATAGAGAAATTGCATATAAGATTGCAAATGGCAGGTATATGTCTTTACGGAGGCTGCCTGAACGCTTGGAATATATGTATGTACATACTCTATTTATTTCTTATATATATATATATATATAAACGAGAGTACCCGTAACACACACAAAATCATCATTCTAGCCCAGTTTATTCAATAGTTCTTCAGTTTCAAAGTCTGTCGAATTCGCTTGACAATGACACGGCCTACAATACTCATCCAAATGTCATATCTTACAATTTCTAGTAATGTCAGGATGTACACTCGTAGCAATGAATATTCCTCGTCGCTTATACCACCAGATAACCCGACAACTTAGCTGGTATCAGTTAGTAGAATTCGTCAAACGTTTTACTACAAAGCTGAATTTGTTTTTCTCCGGTGCACTTCTGTACGTTTTAATGTCAAAGATAGTACATTGTGGGACTCATTTTATGATCAAGAACAAAGCGCAGTGATTCAAAGTGCAGCCGCACAAGTGCAGCATGAGATGCACATGCCGCACATGTGCATGAACGAATCAGTTTTGTCTGTCGACAATTTTTCGATGCATGTGTAGGAACAAAAAAGATAATTCATTGTACCATTGATAAGATTCGCCGGCACGCTACAAAGGCTGCTTCGTGCACGATCGTACCAATAGGTGCCGGCACTTGTTCGAGACATGTTACTCGCCAGAGGGCGCGCTCAACACCGTCAGTAGTAAATACCGCTATCAGCCGTAGAATTCTACGAAAAATTATAATTTTGCTTAAATTTCAAAGCGATATTCGAAATAGTGATCGATTTTTGAGTAGTGGAGAAAAGGATTGTGCTGAAAAAATGTCTTTCTTAAATTACTAGCACAACTACGCTGCGTTGCAGGGATACGCAAAGCAAAGGCGCCTTTAAATTGTATGTCACAGATAGCCTATTAGAGAAATGAACATCCAATTAACGCCATCCTGAGAGTAAACGCATTGTTAGTCGCCAGGAGCTTGGAAAGGACAACGGAAGCATAAAATAGATCAAAGCGACGAGCTATTTCGTGTTCGACGGGTAGCAGCTACAACAATCAGCCATTTATTCGTTACCGATAGAGACCTCTCTCTCTGTGTAGTTCAGTAAAATCAGCTTGGCAAGATCTAGGGGAATCCAAAGAATATTTTTAGCGAAAATTTTGTTCAGAATGAAAGTTCATATCGTTAAAGTAATACCATGACCTGCCGTAACACCAACAACGAGATTTTTGTTTACGTTTAATAAGACAGAGTTTAATATTACAGTTAAGTTTATAGATACCACGTTAGAGCGGAAGAAAGATACAATTTTTGTACGTTTATGGTTCGTTGTGTAGTAGTGATAAAACTGCGTGACTTTTCAAAAAGTTGAAACTCTTTTTGGAGTTCTTCAAAAAGAAAAAAACTCAAAAACAAGGATAGCTTCTGTTTTTTAAATAAATAGCTTTTTAATTTTTGGCAAGGAGTGCCTCACAGCGTGGGTCTGGAGCCTCTACGGCCCTATTCATAATAAAAAAACCGTGAGACGCGCCTCTTATAGATGTCGCCAGATTAAACGAGTGAACTTTATCGCTTTGCGCGGCCGATGTACATTACACTTTTGCTATTATTGCTATTTCAACAATAGTCAGGAGATATACCTCATGCTAACTGAACGAGTTGTTCGTATAAATACTCGTGGCAGAATATAAAAAATATCCTTATTATAACCTATTCTCTAAATTGTGACTCCGCGTTACTATCTATGCTACAAAGTTAGGTGATATCGATTCTCTTCAAACGAGTGGAAGTTCACGATGAGCAAACTCTGCATGGATATCCTTAAGATGGAACTGTTACCAATTTGATATCAGCATAACGTAACAGCGAGTAATGAAATTCGCGTTGGGAATTTTCGGCTAGCCGAAATGCATGACTTGAACCGTCCACCGAAATCGTATATTAAAAAAATGTTTATTTTCTTGGTTCAAATCTGTATGCATATGGCGTAGGTTTATAAACTAAAGAATTAGACTACTGCGGGAAATTTACTTAATTGGTATATTCACTTTTTCCAAAGATGTAATGTGGTAGACTTTTAATGTTCAGTCAATGTATACCTACAATAGCCGTTCAAGCGATACGCATAGACACGGTGATAGGGACACACTCAATGCCTTAATATTTGCCGACATGATTAATTTGATAACATTGTTATGTATATATTCGTTGTTGATATACTTTAAACGAGCTATCAAGCAATTTGCACATTGATGAACAAAAAGAACAAGATTTACTACAAACTCATTTCGTGTTTCTATCTCGCTATGAGTGAGTAGAACTCCTTAACCAGTAGTCAACCTATGGCATACACAAGTACATATATATTGATTCAGCTCAAGGTCCAAAATAAGTGAGCCCTTCCTTGTTAGATCAACGGCTCGAGACGCCAGTTTATTTAATACGATTGTTACTCGAATAACGGTCTTAGGTTACTGACACTTGGGCTAAACTGTAAAAAACCTACATAAAAGACAATCATCCTAAGGAATCGAATTTTCACAATTACAGTTAGAAACAGCCAGTGCATTACCGTTCTTCACTCCATAGAAATCGCAATCGCAATTTTTCTTGTTTTATTGTTTATGCCGTCTTCCATAAAATTGGAATAGAGAAAACAATAGTGCCTGTTTTCTTGCACAATGGAGCACTTATAAAAATAATAATACGCATTTTATTCGACAGTGCTGCTTGTTAGTAGTTTAATTTAATTTAAATGTTAATGTTTACTTTGGAGAGACGCGCCAAAATTCAAAAGGCTGAACGTTGTATTTTAGAAATGAATACGTGAATGAAAGGTTTACAAACGAAATCACTGGTGTAAATAAATAGGTCTAACACCTCTTAATCCGAACCGCATTGCGAACGTAATATGCGTTTGTAACATGCCGTGCCCCGCGACAAGCTATTGGGGTGCTATTTAAATGCGTGTACTGTGTCATTGTTTAACATAGAGTGGCAGTAGGGTCGAGCTATCTATGTTTCTATGTTTCATTTTCGTCAAACTAACTCTGTAGTAAGAAAGCACTTGGACTACCTCGCTTCTTTAGACTGTATGTCTAGTACGCCCGGCATATTAGGTATTCTACGGCGACAAGGAAAAGCGCGTTCTCACCGTTTTATCTAAGAAGAATTAAATATCAGGAAGAAAATGTCGAGGAAACTGATCTAATAATATTCAGACTATAACACACGTTCTGGGATTATCAGAACCTGTGAATTTTGACGTACTTGTCGCCAGTGTTATTTCGCTCCGTCCTAGTATTGAGGGTGTCGGTAAGAACGGAAGTACGAAAAAACTGTGCACGGGTAAATCACTAATTATATTCAATAGTAATACACTTCTTAAAAGCAAAATACCGTCGTTGACCACGATTTAAGTAGAATGCGCGTATAGTGAATTTATTTAATGCCAAATTTCTCCCGTTAGCTTTATCGTTAATGGGCTGCAACGCCTAATCGCGATGCAGAAAGATAAGGGACTCAGGACGCTAAACAAGAGGCCAAGGTTCTTACAAGCGATTGCAAATCCTATAAAAGTTGCAAGCCTTTATTCGATGAGATAAGCATGGTTGAAAAGCGGTCGTGTTAGATATATTGTCGAGGCTAACCATTTAATTTTCAAACCCATAAAACTTATAGAGGGTCCTAGGCCAGCCCTCTACTAGCCTAAACAGGCGTCAGTTTAATTTGTGAGGTTTAGAAGCTACACAAATGCACTATTTGTTAGCACATTCATCGGACGTAAAGCGAAAAACAAATACATCGATGTAATAATGCATGTAAAACGTTCATATACACTTACTACATGAAAGCCGTGTCAGCTAAGAGGTTTGTTATATACTGATTATTAGGCTTGGGTAATTTATAGTATTGAATTGTGCAATTTCTTTATATAAATAAGAGAATTCGATTTGGCCTCGACTTACTTCTAAATAGCGTTCGGGCTTCAGCTTGTGTGTAATGTTTATGGATCAGATGTGCTATTTCAAGCTATTTTGGCTTAAAAAGAACCGGAGAACAAACTCGGGACTGATTTGCATCCACCTCGAACAGACTCTTAATGTACAACGCAAGCGAAGTGTTGTTTGTATTTTAGCTAACAATACGTGTCCATATCGGTATTAATAGGGAAACACATCACCATATCATTGGCACTCGAACGATAGTTGCTACTTTCATGTATAATAAACCTATTGACAATTGACAAAAACCTAACCAAAACCCCATAATATTTTTCTTCAGCACTATCCTAGTAGACTCCTGCTGGAGCAATTTCAGTTAGTGCGATAGGTAAAGCAGCTAAGGAAAGGTCATAGGCTGCCAGATAGAGTAGGCAGTAGCGCCATGAACTTGGAACCAGAAGTTCTAATCCGGCTGGACACATGCAGATGAACGCGGTTTTGTCGTTGCAAATTTGTTAATAAAAATATACATTATAGAGAAACATCTTGTCGATTCAACTGAATTCTACACTTGGTTCATGCGTACTTACCTAAACAATTTTAGCGTTGAAATGTACAGTGACAGCTTAATTGTTCTCGACTCTCCGACTGGTTCTTTTTAGGCTTGGTGTTTTTTTTTTAGGTTGGCTGCTGTCATCATCCAGTTATAGCTGCAGGCTTAACAGCTGTTTCAGGCGGCGCCCATCAGTTGACTCAGTTATCGTTACCGGCTAACACTGCCTCACCTTACTAGCCCACCAAACGTTCAAGTAACAAACGAAAATGTCCCTTTTTCCCTTACCAAGGCTTTTTTACCTCATATACCATCTTCTTTCTTTAGAGAAGGCTGGTGCGAATAAATTGTCGTAGAAAGAAAAACAGTGAAATTTGCATTTGCTTTACTACATGGAGCTGCCTTCCTTCCGGGCGGGCGAGCTTTAGTTTCGTTTGCTGACTGGAACCTATCGTCCAGGTCGTGTTTCTCTAAGCGTCGAATCCCTCACGCTCGCGAAGTGGCTCCTTGCGATGGTCAGCTCATGTGGCATCGTTACCACTCAAGCCATCTTTCGATCTCCATCTTATAGAAGTAACACAGTTCGCAATGTTAACGTCTAGGCGCCATTGCTAGTAAAGCCAAGTAAGTAGTTGGAACTGTTCAGTTGAACTGCTCGTTTGCGATGGGTCATCGCAGCTGTTGAGTATGTCCTAGGTGTAGCTATCAACTCTGTTCAAGTTCATCGGCCACAAAGTAAAGCAAAGGTCGAGCGTTGGAAAAGACGTATATAAGACGGGCGCGACATCTGTTCTGCCGTTAACAAACGGAGCACACTATAAATGTGGACCTGCGCTCACAAGGCTGTTTATACGCACAACAAGGGGTTCTAGCGATTCATTTGTTTATCTGTGTTGTATCTCGCGTATTGGCTGTCAATTTCCCTTGTGATGCCGACCGAAAATTAAGCAAGGGAAGTAGCAAATAATGAGACATGAGATATGACTTCCGGCTTTCGCGTTCTGTATCACCTGAGAACGATTGCTGCTTGTCAAATACCTCTTTAGTTTAGACAGACTCAGTTGACGAGTAGGTAGTGATCACTTTTGAACGGATATTGGTTTTCTTATGTCAATTAGAGATACAGCCTTTTAAAAAGGGAACATTTTTTGAACGGCCGCATTTAAACGGCTGAGACTACAGTAGCCAAAAATATTCGTCATCGAGCGTTTTTCCCGTACGATCCCGTACGATCCCGTACGAATGTTCTGTAACTCACATGACCGGGAAAGTAACACAAAGTGATCGCAGGTACGGCGACTCTAGATGCTTTCCTGGATCTGCCAATAACTAGTGTATATAGACCGCTTAATCTTACAATTGTTTGCGGGCGAGGCAAGGATTAGAGAGATCTTACTCACGCATGGATCTTGCAAAGACGTCGGTATTACCGTCCGTACTCTTACTGGCATTGAGGCGTAACGATACAGCTCGAAATATGTATCCAAACAACTACAGTATCAAGGGATCTTGAGTTATAAGCAATAGCAACAACAAGCGCCGCTTGCTCTATTGGACGGTGACAAAGCGGAAAACATTATTTGCCGTTCGGCCTCGGTTGGAGATCTTGCCCCAGTCGAATATTGTTTGATATATCTATAATCAGACAGTTCCGATCCTTGTTTACGCCACAAAAGAAAGCGTCACACTGGCCATTAAGCTAAAGATGAAGAAAAATTGCATCAAAGAAGTGACAAGCGGGAAGACACCCAATATGGCATTACAAATGCAGCGAGCGCAGGATGTCGGGCAATCCTATGGAAGACAAACCCCTTATTTGTCAAATTAGTCGGACGCTTGAAATTGTAATACTTTTTGATGAGTATTCACGTTAAGAGAAAGCAGTATAATCAATTTGGGGAATTTATCAGTGACCATTCATGGAGATTTCACAGCCAGACTCAAAGCTCCGTAGCGTTTTAATCAAAATGTGTCGTTTTAGGGCACCTTTAGACAGTTGCGGGTCTGCATGACCGCGCTGTCGGATAAAATTGCTACCAACTATTGAAAACTGTGGATTATCTTCTGCAGCATTAAACCTAAACTAGACTTTTCTATAAAACATTAATGAATAAATTAGCCTGTGATTTTGAAACTAATCGGAAATGAAAACGCCAGAACAGAAAAATATTCTGGCAAAATTCCTGGCAACCTCCTTAAAATACCGGAACAATAATAAAGTAAGTAAATAATAAGTAAAAACATACTTTCTTGCCAATGTCTGCGTTCTAATGACGTCACTTCCTGAATAAACTCAGATTTCTCGTTCTAGTTCAACTATCAAAGATATCTTTAAGTTAATCAAATGCTGTTTATTGTATAGCTTTCTCGTATAACATTCAGCTACTTCGGGTTCTAATTTTAACGCACAAGGAAACAACAGAGCTCACTATTTAGACCTATTACTTTAAGAAGTTTTGCTGATGATATTTCCACACAGCGCTCATTACATACCGTAGTTATTTAGAAATTCAGTAGTCTATTGCAAAATTTGGTGATTGTATGATACTTTCTAAAACATGTAATTTTTTGCCAGTTTTTAATTCAAACAAATAATGGAAACAAAGTTGTGGATGAAAAAGATTTTTAAATATGCTGTTTTTTTTTGGGGTAGAAACTTACGTGAACATTAGAATTCTTTTTTCCCGTCTAGCCGACATTAGAATATGCTAAATTGGCGTAAATTGGATACTTCATTTAAGTATGCTGGCCGATGAAATGAGATCTGAAGAAAAAGTTGGAACCTGAATCAGTTACATTTGTCTTCATGTTCGCTTTTCACTTTTTCTCTGCCCTGTTTGCTTTTTTTATATATTTATATATTATACGAAAATAATATTTTTTTCTTTTGGTGAAGAGGATTTTATGTTGTGTTGAGGCTCCAAAGATAGGCTTGCCAAATTCAAAAAGAGGATCTCAAATTTGGAAAATGCCGCCCGACCTTGGTCGGGCACCCGAAATCGATAAAGCAATGAGTGGCAAGCGACGTATCAGTTGACCAAGAAGTATAAACTCTGAACACTAGACTACCATCGAGGCATCTATAAATGTATGTATGTATGTATTTTATCAAAAATTACGAGCGCAGCTGGGCCATAGTCTGGGTGAGATACGCGAAAAAGTGAAGCTTCACATTGATTCGGACGATACGCAGCCACAATAATAGCTTCCTATACGGAGCTGTTATTGATGGCAACAAGTGGAGTCTCTATGTCTATATGAAGTATAGGAAAGAACTGACAGTTCCAAGGGTCTAAGCCCAGAATGAAACGAGATCTTCATCCCAAAGAGCCAATTAGTGCGTTTACTCGATCTATGCCACGTTTTCCCGTTCGAATCCCGCGGCGCATTATATAGTCGACAGCATATTGTGTGCAGTGGCGTATAAATGAATTCTTAATTATATTTATGTAAAATTCTATGGCACTAACACAGTCTTGTGAAAGAGCTTTCTACATCTGAGTACTTACCGTAGACTTTGTAGCAATATGTTCTCCATAGTTGGCCTATTATTAGGCTATTAATAATAGCTCAAATCGTTGATCTGATATATATATACTTACTGTACTTTACATTTAATAGCCACCAGTAATGTTCGGTGCAAAAGAATGCATATTTTCTGTCGTTGTTTTAAGATAGCCGAAAACTTGTTTGTTTTATCGTCTTCTCCAATTCGATAGCCATCTCTTTAAAAATGGCTAACACAGTTAGTACGTGCCTTGGAAATCTAAGGGTACTGATGTAGTCAAATACAGAGTACTTTCAAAAGTAAACATGCTTAAAGATAAAACACTGTCTTTACAAGTCGAACAGGTCTAGTAATTATTATTTTTAATATTTCCCTATACATAGCGAATAGATCATCACTCTATCAAACTATGTCAAGTTACCAATGGTTAAAGATATAGAGAGAAAATATTAAAAAACTTCAAACAACCAGATAAAATTTTCCTCGAATTATTCTCAACTCAATAATAGATCGAATTGAGAACATTTTCTCTAAAAAAAAAAAAAATTCGATCGCCAAATTAAGTATATTATACCATTCCTTTGAAAGTTTACCGCATCTGAAACGGAAAAGGGATTATATTACCCTGAACTGCTGTTGCAGGCCAGTGCGATCTGTCATTTAAAATAGGTTGTGTACTCTGACTGAACACCATGAAGCGAATCAGAATCGGTGAACTTCAGACATCTCCATACACTGTCACCTTTCTAGCGTGCTACTATAACTGCCCGTAAGTGGTTTATATAAAGGTAAAATATATACCAAGCTCTGTCTTTTTCAAGTAACGTTTATATATTTCGGAAATTACAATACCTGTTAACAAGTGCACTAATTTTTTGTTTGTTGTGTTATTATTCCAGCGAGAATTGAAGTGATTCATTGTTAGTGTCGCACTTGAAGGTCAGTGACGTTCGTCAGTTGATTTATCGATGGGCGGGATCGTGTTTTACGTAGCACGGTCCCGCCCATCGGTTTTTTCTTTATGTACCTCACATAGAAACAGCTAATGGTGGTGTTGCTGGTCCATGCGCTCCGTCGAAAATGAGCCATAACCAACGGAAGTTTTGCGCGGAATGAGACCTAGAAATGTGGGAAATGATTAACAAACAAAGTCAGGTCAACGCAAAACAAACCCATACATTTATCCTTCAGCCGCGCAAATAATGACATACAAGATATATATAGTTTGTTTACAACTGCCGAAAGGGTATGATAAGGAACTGATTGTCTACGACTTAATGGCAACATGCCCTAAGCCGTGTTGAAATCCTAGATAAAATCGTTTCCTGTGATTTAGCAAGCAAAATGTAACGTTCCTTGGCTGTACACGAACAACGTCGAATTGTAGAACCATTGATACCATGTGTTGTGACCCAATAGCGCGCTGTCGGCCCACTGACTTTTCCTTTGGCAGCCGTCTCCTAGAATAGAATAGTTCACCGTGAAACAGTGTCTGGGCTGTTATGGCCATCGGTTTAGAAAAAAGCTTTGGGTCGACTGCTAATTGGCCAGTGCATCAGTATCGAAAATGAATGAAGCAAACTAGTTTTCAAGTAGCATATTTGAACGGTACAAAAACATGGTCTCGCATATTCTCGTGAATTGTAGCTAGGTCAAAGTATTCAAAAGGTTTTATGGATTACCACGTCTAGTCTCGATGTCAGGATCGGCGGTGGGTGGTCATTTCGAAGCGTTCGGTGTTCTATACATAGACATTCCTGTCCTGGCGGAAGACAGACATCTTGACTCTTCTAACAATATCCAAATATATCGGTTTTCATTTATGTGACATAAAGGAACTTCGTCTGTAAAGCGTGCACTGTAACTAGAGGCACTCATGCTGAACAGATCTGATTTTATTTTCCAAACTAGACTTTTTTACTTAAAGGTTCGCATCGATGGAGGATGATTTTATTCGATTTTTTAGAAAGTCTTAATTGAATTTTTGTTAAAAAATAATTTCTCATTCGGAAAACAAAAAGGGGGCGGTATTTCGAAAATATAACACGATTCTAAATAGCATTAATAGTGAAATCGATAACAGCGTCGTTATAGCAACGAGAACTTCCGGGAAGGTCGAATAAAAGGATTTGATTTTTTCCTCATTTTAAAATAGTTTTTAAACACGTAGAATCGTATATGTATGTATATATATATACCATGTCATAATGTAACATAATAATACAAATCTATCGTAATTTCATAATGCCACTTCACAGCTCTAGTGGGAATAGATAGAGGGCAACAATCTGTGTGCATGCTACTTAGAAGTACTACCTAATACTAATAATTGACTCTATTTAACGAACAGAATGTTTATAATCTCCAGAGGTTAGTTGAATTTTTTTGAAGGTATAACATGCATTTGTATCATTGTTTACTTAATTACTGTGGCTTCCTTCAAACAATTACACAGAATATCTTGCTTACGGCGTTATATCCCTGTTACTCACTTATATATGTAACATATTATAGAGTTTTGAATAATGAAACAATATTAGGACCGGCAATCAGCTGCAAAAACAACAAAAGATACTGCATTTAATTCGTCAAGTAAAATCACCTAAGCACAACTAGTAAGCTGGCGCGATGATCCATCTTCAGGCTAGTTACAAACAGGCCGTCGGTCACCTATACATATCAGACTACAGGAACCAGGCATGTAAGCTAAGAGGTTCTAACCACTTTTTCATGTGTACGCTGCCGACACCAGGAGATTTCAATCAGCTGCTATTAGGTCACATAAAAGTTCTATCATATTAGGTTTTACAATGTTCGTTTCGAATCACATTGAAGAACCATCGAAGATTTCTTCTATCACATAATTCGTTGCAGCTTGAAAAGTAATCATATTATCTCGATATTGTGATCATTTCTAACGTTCAATAAGTGCAAGAGCAGAAGTAAATATCGCAAGTTAAAGTTGTTTCTACTGATTGGTACAGCGCAGGATAAACCACCAAAGCCGGTCGATGCTGACCCCTCAAAATTATTCCATTATGCGCTTTTTTTAATCAGCCGCTTTCCTTGGATGGAGCTCCTTTTGCAATTTAAAATTTCTTCACCTTTGACTCTTTTGCAATCTGTTTCCTCTATATATTATTGTTTTGTTATTTACAAATATTTATTGTATTTTTTTATGGATGAAAGATCCACAAAAAAATGAAAGGGCTGTGTCTTGTAATCACCTTTTTTGATCTCCTAATTATAGTCGGAATGTGACGGCACCACGCCGGGTAGAATGTTGATCGACTTCAAAAAAAAATGACGAAGGAGACGCTGAAGTTTTTTTCACCCGGCGACTGTAACTGTCATCTGCTCACCGGAATACAGCGGTATACGGTTCAGCTGTAAAACTTAACATATAAAAACACCCGCAGAAGCCGGTAGAAAGCAACCGTGTCAGAAGTCACCTTGAACAGATAAGACGCCATTTCAAATTTACAAAGAATTAGCTCAACTTACGTAACGCTTTAGGGTTGGCCTTTTTTGCTGAACGCAATTTCGCCTCAGGGCAATAACATGGAACGCCATTGGGATCTGGCTCATGGAAGGTCTCGTTAGATGATAAGCTCGGTAGCTAGTAAGCTTGAACATCGAATAGCAACAAAAATATTTAAATTTTGCGCCCTTTTTATGGATATTCCTATATATATGATATTCGCCATTTATCGTACGCCAACTCATCGCCTTTAACATTTTAAAACCGTCGTTTATGAAACCTTAATGCATAATCGAAATAGAGTTTGATGTACAATTCATCAGCACATCTACTTTATGTGTGAACTTTTGTGATGGAGAAGTATGCTCGCAAAAAATGCTAACATATATATGTATATATATATATAAACATTATCAAACTGGTAACTTTCTTGTCGGTATGTTGCAACCCTTTGTTTTTATAACTTGTTTGCTAACAATAAAAAGTCACGGCCGACTTTGACTTTAAACATGAAAAATTAAGGCACAAAGAAGGCAGCTTCGTGTATATCAGCCTACACCAGCCTCTATTTAACACTTGACGCAAACAATCAACTGTCGATAAATCCAGACGCGTAATGGTATCATACATTAAAGACAAAGCAGATGTGTAACTGCTATTGCATAAATTCTCGAACTCGTTGCCCATAGGTTACCTGGAATCTGCAGACATTACGACTAACTTGGTAAAGTGCTTTCAACTTCTGTTTAATGATACCGCCGCGTGATTCCGACCCCCCCCCCCCATACCGCAGCAATTGGGCAATACCTCCTTGCTATTAGAAACGTCACGTACAATTAATCACTGATCACTTATATTTATGACATCGAGACATACGGTTTGGGTGGAAGGAAAATTATATGGGAATTAGCTTTAATAAGGACGGCGGTCTTCACTGATTACTCGTTATGTGGACCCCACATTGATACAGACTTACTATAACAGAAAATATCTTAATTTCTCTTAATATAAGTAACGTATATTCTATTTCGCCATTACTGATCATTGGAGAGCAGTAGACGTTAAGTGCGAAAGCATGATTCGTGTGAAAATGCTGGTGGTTGTGCCGTTCTTTAACTTTTTATGTTGTTTTCTTTTGTGGCTTTATAATATGGGTAAAATTATTGGCTGTATGAAAATAAGTAATAAGTGTTGCAAGATAACCGGCAATGCGTAATCACTGGTGTATTTGGTCGTTAAATATGCTCGGCGGGAGCTATTAATCTTCGCCCGTTTGTATTGGCATCAGAAGGCAAAGAAGTTGACTTCTGTTTTGGACAAACCCTCAGCTAGTCTGGAACATGTCAAGAAAATCATTAACCGTAGATTTTTTAAATTCATTTTCTTCGAAATTCGTTTTCTACCTTTTGATACGACCCTGTAGTTGCTGGATAATCTGAAATGATGCTAAATTCGGACCTTACGAACATGGAGAGCCTATGTTCAAGTTGATAAGGGATAAATTTATGCGGGCCATAGTCAATCCCTGCTTAAGTTTTATGCCAAGTTGCGTTAAGTGTTTCTTCTCAAGCTCATGTCCCCATGTTCACGCATTTAAATCTTACAACAAGGCGCATTTCATACGTAGTCGGTACCTGTTAAGTGTATCTAAATATGCATTATCTAAAAACGGGGAAACACATTAAAGTCTGCCCTCTGTATTGCCACTTCAACTTTGGCCTGTGGGCATCAGAAACCTTTAAAAGCCGCAGTGATGAAATCTCGAAAAATTCGTCTGCGTTGAAGCTTTATAAGTGAAGCTCGAGCATCGAGGATAATCTTGCTCTACGATGAAAAAATGAACAGGCCCTAAACCGGTTAAAATTGTCGTTGCCAATGCCCAACTTAGGTCAACTAATGCTGAAATAGCAACACCTTTTTCGAGAAATTAAAATACTTGGAATTTAGTTTTATCAGGTACCTCCGTAGCTCACTCTATAAAGCCCCAGAGCTGTCACACCTCAGTAAAGTACTCGACTGGTTTAAGACATGTCTCAAAAGCATGAGACAACTCCTTCTCTTTAAAATTCCTTGCAAGTTTATTCGCAGAAACTATTTCGACTAGCCATATTTGATTCAAAATAAACAAAAGTAGGATCGGCTTTGCTAATTGTCACTGCAAAGGGTTTTAATCTCAGCTAGAAAACCTTGAGCGCTCTTACCGGCCGAAACGTGCTTAAGCTTTGAACGAATCAACGATCGTAAGAAGAACCCTTCCACCGTAAAGAGAAATAACTATTAGAGGATTACCATTGCATTGTGACTGTCGAAATTGCATATGGAGACCCAGCATGTACGCTACACCCTGACCATGACTCGTCAGTGACGTCGACGACTGAACGTCATCGTTAGATGTTTATCAACTGTGAGCGTTTGCTGGTTCGCTCGCATACACACGACTTAACTCGCTGCGTCATGACATGGCATAGCAACGAAAGCATACCTTTGAAATCCCAAACCATTCTTCGACCCCTTTGAAACCCACCAAGGCTTTTTTGACTTAATTATTAGTTCTACGTGAGCGACTCTTTTCTTGCGGTTAGTGTGTGGCAGTAAACGCGCGCGACGGTTCCGGCAAAAACTTGGCAAAGGGCTTAGCGTAGTAATGCAAGCCACAGAGCCCGCATAGTGCGTCGTTGTCATCGGCCGTTGAAATGAGTCATAACACGTCATGTTCGTGTGCGGATACACATTGATCCAGTTTTACAAACTAAATTAGAAAGATGTTTCTTTTCAGGGAGCCGACATCTGATCTTTGTCGATGCTTGGATAAAGTCACAAGTTATCAACTAACAATTGCCGCTTGTTTTGCTTGCTTCCTTTTAATAACTTATCGATAATGCCTATAACATGTAGGTCGCATTGAGGTTCAACTAAATTGTTTCGTAAGGGGAACTGATACAGCTGATAAGTTAGACTGTATGGTTTTGTAATACTTACAATTTTCATTTATCTAGGTGAACAACAACAGCTAGGTATCGGGCTCAAAGAGATGGTAGTTCAGCCGTACATATTGTACGATACGGTCATGTTTCATCAAAGAAAGCCAGATTTATGTTTTCTGCTAGCTAATTTTCTTCATACACATTTTATTGTTTCTTTTTATTTTTATTCTTTCCATGAGAAAGAAATCTGGAAAATCACATAGTGTCTTAGATCTTAGATAAAGATGTCCTAGATCATGCAAATGCGATATCATAAAGGAAGAACAATAGGACCTATGAGAATGGATGCCAAGCAGGTGTATTATCGTATGAATCAGGTGTCGACGTGCGGGCTTTGCGGACACACGATGAAGACAACAATTTGATTTTCACTAAATGAAATAACGCAAGCTTCACGTATTCAATAGCGTCCATTACTTGTGAGGAATTCGGGGTGTTTAGCGATTCAAACGGAGTCCGCACACAGAGAGCTATCATTTAGTCACTCACGATAAATTAGTTAAATTTGATCGCACATTTAGATCCGACCTTACCAAGAATCTAAAACCCTTTATGCCACCATGGTATATTCATAGTCTCTACGTGAATTTTGGCTCTAAGTGAAATACTGTTGTACATATCATCAAGTAGCTAAATCGGTAAAAAAAAGGTCTCCAAAAATATCGTGTTCTGTGCTCTTTCGAAAAAATTCAATATCAGAACTTCGTGATTGAGTGACCACTTATAGTGGGTTGGCTTTTTTGCCAAAGAAGAACCTTTATCAAATATACGTGTCTGAAAGTTAAACAGTAGACAATACCAAGAACCTAAATATATTCGAACGTTGGAGAAAAGATCGAACCCAAGGCTATTTCAGCTGTCTCCTTTACACGTTTTTTTATTTTTGCCAAAGGATGAAAACAATATAATGAACTTTCAATGCTATTACATACGCGAATTGTCATTCGAGTCATCATAGTAGTGAATACATATCAAGTAAAAATGTTTAAAAATCCAGATCGCATATAAAATACAAAGGCTGATGCCCCTGAGTATTTATGCTTTTGCCAAATGTCCATTGTACGTGGGATGGCAAAGGCATATTTGCTTATCTTCATATTTCACAATAGGGAAGCATAATTATCTTCATGGTGGTTGAACGAGAGCATTAATGAAGCCGCAAAAAACCAAGCGCAGGATTTCGAGTTTCTAAAACAAGCTTACGAAGCAGCCTGTAACGCTCAACAATCAAATCTCACAGTAGATTATGAACCACCTAGGGCCGAACATTAATTAAGAATGACAGCTTTGGCTTATATTTAAATGCAAGGGCGCATGAATGGGTGATTCGTTGTACTGCACTAATGAGAAGATCATTGAACGGCAGTGTGCCCAAAATTAACATAAGTTCAAACCTATAAGGAAATTTTGAATTGACTCGCGTAACACTAACTTTATTTGTACGACGTCATCGTACGCTTCTTTCAGACGGCGACATACTGCTTGGTTCATTGACATATTATTGTTATCACATAATATGAGACGTTAATAGAAAAAAAAACCTACTAAGGAAGAAATTTTCCCATCAACTTCGTTAATGATCACGAAAAATATTCCTATACATCACATATCGTTACCTTCTCTTACCTCCTGAATCGGTTCCACCCCGGCACCGCGCACAAGAAAGCGCACGGTCATCAAGTGCAAGTCCCTGCAAATCCCACTTGCACTACGGGCATATTTCTGTTCATTCGACTAGATCTGGTGCTTATGGGTTACACCGTTGGTGACCTTATATCGTACGGGTCACCCCACTTCCTCACTTTGTCGATCGTTGATTCAATCAGCGACTTCAAAGCGGTTGCTTATTTTTTGAAGGCAAAAAGTTCGGGACGAAGATCTTCTTCAATCGCTCCTCCGTTCCGAGAGGGTTATGGATGCCTTGCGACCAGGGCATGCTGTTGGCTAACAGCCACAGGAGAGGAGGCAAAAAACCGGAGTCGCTCTTTTAAGCACCGCATCATCGGCGCTCGCTACCATACTGCACTGACGCAGAATTGCGCTAGCCGTTACAACGCACAATCAGACACGGCTTCCGCCAAATTTTCCGTATACCTAGAACCATTCTAATTAGAGTTAATTGTTGCAGCTGCAGAGCGTTTTCGGAATTCTAGAGAACTTTATTACGTAGTCTGATTAAAGGTAACAAAAGCAGTAGTACATCGACGGAACCATCTTGGGCTACCCGGCGGCGCGGAAGTGCGCATGTTTTTTTCCTTTGTCAAAGACTAGCCAGACTAATTCTTGCTGCAGTTTTAGCATCGTAGAAAATCTTCCTTGGATTCGTATCGACCAATCTAGAAGTAGACATGGTGAAAATTACAGTGTCTATTTTCTTTATAGTGTCGTGTCTGTTCACAGTATCTAATGCCTATACAGCCGTTATGCCTAAAGTGAAAATGATTAATGGTAAGTGCGTAACGTATTGTGTTTTAATTTTTTAAATAACTAATTAACGGTAGCATCTTTCACGATACCTATATACTGGCACCTGCTTCATATGGCAAATTATCAAAAAGCACCTGTCAAAAAGTGTCAGATAAAGCAAGCTGTTCTTTCTATCATACCATGCTTAAAAATCATTTTACTGACTGCCTATACATTGTACCTGTGAAAATAACGTTATAACAATAATTAATACCACTCGCAACTTGACACTGGCTACCGTTCATTCTTTGAACCGAGTAACAATTAAGTCTCTTAAGCTTTTCAGGGCCATTGACATTGTTTAATTGAAACAATACATTGTGAATACGGAATTATTTCACTCATACATGTTGTTGTTTCCTCTTCGGAAGAATGTTTAACGGCTTAAATAGCAGAGTTAAAGATCCGATGCACACTTGTTTATATCCACAGTTTATGTTTCTAGATCGGCGTTGGCCTTAGCTTCTTCTCATGTAAACTGCATAGCCTAAGATCATTACTCGCTCGGCATAGACATATACAGGGAACTTTTTCGAATCACCGTTACACGTTATCCGTTAACGGTCCTATTGTAGAGAATACGTTTGCTTCGCTATCGGTTCGTCTAGTAAGCTGTTCAGTTGTCTGCTGCGTGAGCAGATTTCTGGTCACTGGCTGCATTTGTGCTGAACGCGACTTCGTTGTCGCTTTAAATTCTGTGTTTTTGTGCGTAGCACACGTTATATCCATTAAATTTTACGACAGTAGCGTACGGAACCGTTGAACTCCCAAACTGTCAGAATTTCTACAAATTTTGTTACTGGATCCAGTAGAGTATCAGATGATAATTTGTGACATCATTGACCGTACTGGTCGGCTCCCTTATTGACCGCTAACTTGACGACTTGAAAGGCACCTTCACAATTTCACGCTGTTCTTTCATTTCTGCTTAACTTGGAGCAGAAGGTTATTAACAAACACCAGATGAACAAAAACGCCAAAAAAGCGTTTCGAATAAAAACGCTCGAAGCCCATTATGTCGATGACTGAACGAAGGGTGTGCGCGTCTTAAAAAGCACGCCTCCTTCGTTGCTTCTCGCAATAATACCCTCAAGGATACAAGGTGATTTGAACTTCGAATGAAAACTACCAATGAAGTCACTAAGTGTTAGGATGAACGCGTGAGCATAAGAAACAATGCGAAAGGGTCGAAGTCGATCATGAATGAAATGAAACCATTTATCTGAACTGTCCCCTTGACCATTGTTCTGGGTCTAAGTAACTCCAGTTTTTGCCGAAGGTTGAGTGGTAACCAGGAGGCATGGTCCTAAACAATGTAGTTGCAGACAAAAGTATCTCCATAGCTTTCTTTATTTTAAAACGACTGAATTCTACTAGATCCTATGCATTTTATCGGATACAAAGTCCATTTTTGTACACTTATGGCCTTTATATATATTCCCGTATTTGCCTTGTGTCGCGTACATTTACTCAAGGATCGAAGAGCAAATGAGCTGAACGATGACTTCGACTGTCCTCTCTCAAGCTGTTGAATCAAACGCTACGTCAAAGTCATCCGCGCGTTTATATTTTACCAACGTCTAAGGCATGCCGTCGAAATAAACATCTTCTGTGATAATAGTTTCTTATCTGTTTTCTAGTCTACATTTGATGGTTCGCTATTTTACTGAATTATCATAACTTCTTCTCCATTCTGCTAAACGTCGTTCGTTCGCAAGCTGTCATTGTTGCGCAATGAAGCCTGCACCAGGAACCCATCGAGTGTAAATATACAACCAGAAAATTTCCAAGATTTGAAATGACCGCGCGATTGGCTCGTTTGCACGTACGACCAAAACGGCGTGAGCAGCAGCAGCACTACGCACGGTGACAGTAATAACCTCTGTAAACTGTTACGTTGTGCAATAAGATATAGGTGCCAACGAAAAAAAGTAAAATCTCGCGCTATAGAGTATGATAAAGACGAAGCAGTCAATTGGAGTTTTGCCGTTTCTTTTATCACATGATCTATAATAATCCAGTTTTAGAGGTAAGTGACTAAATGCCACTGTAATTTCGTCTTTTTCCGCCTAAAGTCTCCCCTCCTTGTGTGAAAAACCATCAGGGTAAATGTTTGCCTTCGGTCTAATACTGTATTTAAATGAACACATTTGATAAAGTTTCCGCGTAACATAATCGTATATTAATTAGCAAACAAAAAAAAACCCGCCCATGATACCGCATGGGCGAGAAAAGGTTGTTCTTATTTTTTCGACGTGCTTTCCTATTTTGCCTAATTCGATAACATCTGTCTAGTTGTGGTCGAAAGTTGAGTAAATCAACAGCTAAAATTGTGACCGTTCGGGAATTTGATTGTCTTGGTGAGCGTGTACACGTACGCACGTACGACACAATCAAATGCTTCGACCAAGAACACGACCCAATATAAGCAGAGCTGAGTGAAATTTTTGCTTTGTGCAAAGCACGCGCAAAAGGGAGCAAAGTGGAAAAACTCAACGAATTGTCAACAAAACCAACCAGTCCACCAAGCGTCGGCTTCAGGCTCCAGCAAAGAAGAGCTATTGCCAAATACGCTAAGCCGTCGCCAACTGTCTCTGAGAAAAATGCAAGAGTCGGTTTTTGCTTGACAGGACAGCACGCCTTAGATCCATTCTACCTCAACCGATATGTCAGCTCGATGGTACATTCAAGTGGTATTGGTAGGTTGCAGTTTGGCCTGCTGCGCACTTTTCTTATGTTGATCTGAGTAAGGCTCAGCAAAAACCGCCTGTAGTGGAACGACGGCTTGTTTGTCACAGGTTATGATGGTGAAATTTTACTGTGCAGATAACATGCAATGTTTTTGGTTGAACTACGTCTTTCGCTGTCTTCCGGTATGTCAGAGTTCTTCTGGAAACTAACGTCTCCGATTATCTTCCTCTCTAGTGCACTCCTTGCACGCGATCGTTGTGTCTATGTGTGGGCATGTAGCCTCGCACGCGACCTTTGCACTCATTTCGTTCGTTTGCTCGAGTTTACGAAAAAATGAACCAGAGGCACTAGCGTATCCTCTGGAATAAGGGGAAGCAAACTGCATTATATCGAAAGCATGAATCCGCGGAACATAATAATGATAATAAGAATGCATGCTTTGCTCCTTATTTAGATGCTGGTGACCTTGCCTAATAAAAGTACGGGTTAAGAGGTGTATAGTGTTTAGAGGGTATGCGAAGTATCTTACACATTCATTTATATTGCGTTTTACATTAGTTTATGTGGCGGGCTCGATAAATTGCTGGTGAAAGTCTTTCCGATCGATGTGCTCTATATCTTAACTAACCAGCAGATCCAAATGCGTTCTTATTTGGTAGCGGTGATCTTTGAGGTGCCATTTTTTCCAACTACTATATGATGTATATATTATAAATAATACAATAAGTATTATCAAAATTAGTGCAGCATTATCAGTGACCCTTTACCTGCTATTCGCGTGAATTTTGGACCCGTGTGCGCTGCTCGAGCAGCGCACATTGTTGATTTCGATTGTAAGGTCGCTGGTCAAAACAACGGCCCTGTGTTAACAATTCTATTTGATAAGGCCATTGCTTCTTCTCGCTTGCGAGTTAGAAAGTAGTTTGCAGAATCACTATTCCAACGATGGCAGGTACGTAATCTGTTTTATAACTGAGCTTTCTTTTGAAAGCTACAGAGATAATGATGATGACATTTATAACCTTAGGTCGTTTGACTAAGTGATACTGGCACAAAGTAGTCTATTCTTTGCGGAATCGCCTCTCTTGACTACTTTGTGCCAGATATGTGTGAGGCATATCAGCATATGAATTACGGCAAGACAAGTGTTAATTATTCTCATAGCTGTGAGACACTTATTGGGCATCGGCTTTACTGTAGGTTCGACTGCATGCGAACTTCCTAAATCAACTACCTCAATCAATGCCAGCCTATAGCCATAGCTGCAAGTGACTGCTAGGATATATATATATATGTACGTATAAAACTTTGGCTTATTTGCATTAATTAAATGTTACTATTTTTATAGTCTAACGCTGCATATATAGCACACTACATATGCATGCTTAGTCTTAATACCGTCCGTT